TCTACCACAACACAGCTCCTGGCTAATAAATTWTGTCTTGAGCTACTTTTGTTTTTAACTATTATAGGTCTTCTTTTTTTCATAGATTTTTCAATGGGTTTAATCAAATAAAGGGGTATTGTATACTATGTTCCATCATCTTTTCAGTTGATGCCTATACTGACGATTTTGGTTCTAGAAAGCTATTTACAGTTGGGCATGGTGGTATATACCTGAATCCCAGTTACCAGGGAAGCTGAGGAGGATCACAAGTTCAAGGCCAGCCTAGACAACTTAGAGAAACCCTCTCTCAAAATAAAATTTAAAAAGAAATAGGGATGTGGCTTAGTTGTAGAGCTCCTGCCTACTATATATGAGGCCCTGGGTTCAATCCCAGTATCACACACACAAAAATAAATAAATAAATAAATAAATAAATACCTACATACATAAATCTTTATTTTCAGAGAGGCAGATTCCTGCAATAATGCTCTTTCCCTCAACTTGCACCTTCCTACTGTTCTCACTATGCTTGTCCTCAGAGATGACCCAGGTACTCTCCCTTGATTACATTTCTTCTAACTCCTTATTATAACCTGTCTGTTTCCTTACCTATAAAAACTGAAAGTAACATGTAAAGGGCTTTATATGTGAGGGCATTAAGGATCATATCAAACAAGCCCCAAGGGAAACAAAACTATGATTTTGAACACAATACATACACAGTAACAGCGTTCCGATTTCCAGGAAACAGTCAAGTTTGTTCCCAGCCGTTCATTATGGATGAGTAGCAAAGCCTGRTCCATCTTCAGCTCCACATGCCTTTTTTTATCTAAATCTAAATCTGATAAGAATAGAAAGAAAAGTTAAAAAATAAACCCAAAAGATGTGCTAGAGACGAAAAAAGTACATCAGTACGTGCTTCTCAAATACCTGCACTCTATAGAGTCTCTAAAACATTGCTTTCAGTACACACGAATGTATGTGTGCATGCAAGTGTATACACATACACACATAGGTACCCTTTGGCACAGATGCCTCTACTACAAACAAGGATTTGGTTGACACCATTCACATACAGTGGGCTAAAATGAGACAGGCACTGAATTTAGCAGTTTCCATATAATGACAACCTTGTGAAGTAAGTATTTTCTCCATTTTTCAGAAGAATAAATTAAGGCTCACGAGAGTTAGATACAGCCTATGGCCACAGAGTTTTCTAATGAAATCAATGATCTAAACCCCAGTGGTATGATTCCAAACCCCTGACTTTCCTCTACCGTGTTACCAGTCTATGAGCTCAGCTTGGGCAGCTTGTTAGAAATGCAGAGCTCCATACCCTCTATCTCACCACGGGCAGGTTAGCAGGATTCCTAG